TCTCCCACCCAGAACTTGCTGGAACTCATTTCCAGCACCTCTCAGGCAGGGGTGTATGAAGGGTGCAGCGTGGTGGTGGTGGTTCGGTCTGTCCCGGGTGCCACCCTGATGGGGTTGGTGGAGGTTGGTACTCGTCACCGCGGGGCCTGCAGCACGCACGAGCCTCGTGTCTTGGTGCCCACAGGCTCCATGCTGTCCGCCCGCTGCCTCCCCACCAGCTGTAGAGCGGCTGATGCCCTGCTGTGCCCCCTGTCCCTATGGGAGCTGTGTCTGCGTCTCATCCCTATGGGCCCTGTAAGCCCCGTGGTGCGTGGCACCATAGGGACGGGGCGCGCTGCTGCAGTGTCCATAGGGATGGCATGGGACGCTGAGCGCCCCGTTCTGTCCCTATGGGCACCGGGCGCCCTGCCCCTATGGGTGGTTCCCTCTGCCCCTGGGCACTCCACCCCAGGTGCCCGAGAGGCTTCCTCTGCCGTTGCTCTCAGGTGGGCACCATTGCCATTATATAAGAGAACAAGGGAGGTGTTCATGGTGAGTTCTGGCACATCTTTTCATAGAAAAGTAGCACTGCATGGAGTTTTAGAACCCAGGTTAGGAGCATAAGAAGCTGCCTTATACAGTGGTACCTCAGGTTACATACGCTTCAGGTTACAGACGCTTCAGGTTACAGACTCTGCTAACCCAGAAATAGTGCTTCGGGTTAAGAACTTTGCTTCAGGATGAGAACAGAAATCGTGCTCTGGTGGCACAGCGGGAGGCCCCATTAGCTAAAGTGGTGCTTCAGCTTAAGAACAGTTTCAGGTTAAGAACGGACCTCCGGAACGAATTAAGTACTTAACCTGAGGTACCACTGTACTGAGTCAGACCATTGGTGAATCCAGCTCAATACTGTCTTCACTGCCTGGCTCTCTGTTGAGGTCTCTTCCTGCTCTACCTGGAGATGCTAGGGATTGATCTTAGGACCTTCTGCATGGAAGGTGGATGCCATACCCACCAACAGTTCCATTTTAAGCGGGACATCCTAGAATCACAGAAGCCAATCCCGGTATGAGATACTCTAACACTGAGGTGTGGCATTTTCCCTTCCTGGTTCCCCAGGCTTCTAAAACATGCAGGCTCTTAAAACTATGAGGTTATTATTATTTTACTGTTTCCTCTCGGGGCTGAGAAAAAGAAATGCAGGTTCCTGCAGCACCTCCTTGCCTGCCTTTACAGATGCCTTGCAGTTGTGTTCTGTTGCATAATTAAAGGCAGCAGCCTTCAAGACAAAGGCCATTTTTCTAGGCATTAAATTGATTCTGCTTTAACAACACAATAACACCGGTAGAATTATGTGCGAAGCCACAGGGCTCAATAAAAGCCTATTAGCTCTTAACACGGTAGGCACCTTTCCGTTCCCGTTGTTGGATTTTGGGTTGGACACTTATTGGAATGGAGAAAATAAACATTAAGGACTTGTTATGTGCTGCTGCCCTGACAACTTTGTGCCAAATCGCCAGCAGATGCCAACTCGTTTCTGCTATGCAATTGCAGCTTAGCGCTGTAGTAGCTTATCCTCCTTAAATTACTCCACCTCACAGAATGTTGGGGAAACTTGGGTTGGACTGGGAAGGGGACACAAAGCTTCCTGACCCCACCTCTGCATCCTGTTTTCCTCTGGAACCTCTGAATTTTGAACTGTTTCTTAAATGTCGTGTAGACCCTGCATAGCAGCATTTTACATTCTGCAGAAGCCACGTGGCGGCAATAAAACTCTTATCATCACTAGACTGCATACGTGTCAGCGAGACAAAAACAAGGCTCCCTGGACAGGGCCAGATAGTGGAATTAGAGAAGATTCTGCTGGAGCTTGACAAGTCCAGAGGAGACAATTGCAGGAAGGTTTTTGTTGGACTGGTTCTGAGATGTATTCCCTCCACCCCTGATCCTGATCATATTACTTGAAAGAATGTGGTTTTACTGGTCAGACGGCTAAAAGTATAGATGCCCAAGGGTGTGGAAGGCCTCCATGCTAATACCACACATTTATGTGGCTGTTAATGCTGGCCTGGAGCATTATCATGTTATCAGCCTACTGCACGTAGTAGCTTAAGGCCTCAAGTGAAGGGGGTTTTCATTATCCTCCACATTAGGCTATAATACATGAAGCTTCCCACAGAGCGCACAAAATCCTAAAATTGTAGAGTTGGAAGGGAACCAGAGGGTTATGTAGTCCAACACCCTGCAATGTAGGAATCTCAACTAAAGCATCCATGACAGATCACCATCCAACCTCTGCTTGAAAACCTCCCATGAAGGAGAGTCCACTACCTCCCGATGGAGACCATTCCACTGTTGAACAGCTATTACTGTCAGAAAGTTCTTCCTCATGTTGAATCAGAATCTGCTTTATTTTACCTTGAAGCCATTGGTTCAGTTCCGACCTTCCGGAGCAGGGAAAAGCAAACTTACTCCATCTTCCATGTGACAGCCCTTTAGATATTGGAAGATGGCTGGCATATTTCCTCTCACTCTCCTCTCATCCAGGCTAAGCATACCCAAATCCCTCAACCATTCCTCATAAGGCTTGGTTTCCAGAACTTTGATCTGACCCTGCTGGAGAAATATCTGCATTGATAGGCAATTTCCTTTACCATTCTGGTATGAGAAATGGCCCCATGTCAGCAGGGACTGCCTTCCTGCCAGCTACTAACAATGTCATTGGAGGGCTTTAGATTCCTCTCTGTCTTTTGTTATGCAGATGAAGCTCCTGAGCTCCAGGAGGCCTGAAGACCTAGGCCTGCCCTGCATGCATACAGCCCAGCTTCGGCCTACAATGCCTGCACACATAACAGGGTGCAAGCCATTTATCCCCGTCCCCTCTGTGGTGCCACCATTATTGGACATTCACTCTTCAAATGGCTTCATCCATTCCAGAAGTTTGCTCTTCCACTCATGGAGGGCAGTGTGCATGGGAACAGTGACGTGATGGAGGGGCCTGGAGGGGCAGTGCCCCTTCCCCCTCTTCATGGACTCTAAACCCACATGAGCAAGCTGAGTACCTCTCCCTTGACCTCTTTAATTAAGCGTAAAGAGGACCCCTGACCATTAGGTCCAGTCGTGACCGACTCTGGGGTTGCGGCGCTCATCTCGCTTTATTGGCCGAGGGAGCCGGTGTACAGCTTCCGGGTCATGTGGCCAGCATGACTAAGCCGCTTCTGGTGAACCAGAGCAGCGCATGGAAACGCCGTTTACCTTCCCGCTGGAGCGGTACCTATTTAGCTACTTGCACTTTGACGTGCTTTCGAATTGCTAGGTTGGCAGGAGCAGGGACCGAGCAACGGGAGCTCACCCCATTGCGGGGATTCGAACTGCCGACCTTCTGATCAGCAAGTCCTAGGCTCTGTAGTTTAACCCACAGCGCCACCTGCGTCCCAACCTCTTTAATTAGAAGCCTCCAAAAGTTGCCCAGTGAAGAAGGAGAGCTGAGAACAAGCCTAGAAGGCAGACATGCAGGAATACTACAGAAACAAGAAAATAAGGGCTTTGTTTAAGGAGATTAAGGAGTAAATTGAACTGAAGCCGAGTAGAAAAATGTCACGCCTGCAGAGCGGCTGCATAGCCCCTTTGTAATATAACAGTAACAGGCGCAGTAAATTAGAGGTACCTTGAAATTAAAATTTCTTATTGAGAAAACTTGGTGCTCGTGCTGTTGAAAAACAGGTCATGAAGCAATTACATGGTGATAAAGCTTCTGGGCTTTTAATCAATGCTGGAGGCTGTACTGGGCTTGCCTTTTTAATTCTGAGGTTATGATTCTTAAAAACCATTCTAAACTTATTAGATTAAAGATATTTCTCTTTTTTCCCCTCCCCAAGCCCTGTGACCTAGGGCGAATTACCTTTTCACTGATATTTATTGTGTCCCAGAAGATGTATACCTAATCTGTTCTTGTCCATTATATCTGTTCATCAGGCACTAGGTGAAGTGGCAACAGTTTTCTAAAGGAAAGCCTTTTGCTTGGGAAATTTGCTGTTTTCCAGGGACCCTGAACAATAAGCTGCTTTTTAAATGTTTTCAAACTGAGATTCTTCAATAGCCTCTTGTTCTCAGTGATCAATGTTATTTATAACAACCAGCTCTGCGTGACAAGTGTAGCCTTAAATTATGAGTAAATTAGGCTGCAATTCCGAGCACACTTACTAGAAAGTATGATCCAACAGGCACAGTGGAAGCTATTTCTGGGTAAGCAGGCATAGGATTGTGGGTGGGGTTGGCTGATCTCCTGAAGCTCAGACCATGAAATGCCGGGGAAGAAGCCTGTAAACTAAGAGATTGTTGTTGTTTAGTCATTTAGTTGTGTCTGACTCTTCGTGACCCCATGGACCAGAGCACGCCAGGCACTCCTGTCTTCCACTGCCTCCCGCAGTTTGATCAAACTCGTGCTGGTAGCTTCGAGAACACTATCCAACCATCTCGTACTCTGTCGCCCCCTTCTCCTTCTGCCCTCCATCTTTCCCAACATCAGGGTCTTTCCCAGGGAATCTTCTCTTCTCATGAGGTGGCCAAAGTATTGGAGCCTCAGCTTCAGGATCTGTCCTTCCAGTGAGCACTCAGGGCTGATTTCCTTAAGAATGGATAGATTTGATCTTCTTGCAGTCCATGGGACTCTCAAGAGTCTTCTCCAGCACCACAATTCAAAAGCATCAATTCTTCGACGATCAGCCTTCTTTATAGTCCAGCTCTCACTTCCATACATCACTACTGGGAAAACCATGGCTTTAACTACACTGACCTTTGTCGGCAAAGTGCTGTCTCTGCTTTTTAAGATGCTGTCTGGGTTTGTCATCGCTTTTCTCCCAAGAAGCAGGTGTCTTTTAATTTCGAAACTAGGAGGTGGTACCTGCCAAATCAGGTGGTAGAACCTGGTAAAGATGATCTTAAGGGCAGGTTCCTACACCAAATGAGAGTTATTCCTAGCATCTAAATACACTTTTGTGTGTATCAGAAATACATAGACAGGATAGCTCAGTTGGTAGAGCATGAAATTCTTAATCTCGGGGTTGTAGGTTTGATCCCCACGTTGGGCAAAAGGATTCCTGCATTGCAAGGGGTTGGACTAGATGATTTTCGCAATCCTTTCAAGCTCTACAATTCTAGGATTCAAGGACTTGCTCCTAGATCCAGGAAGCTTTGAATTCTAAACGTGGTCTAGCTGCAACTGAAGCATACATCTCACAACACTATATTTCATGTTTACTTGAGCATGTAGATGAGCAAATAACTATTGTGGCTGCAAAAATGCAGCCTGCAGCCTGGCTGTTCGTTTTCAAAGCAACAACACAGGTAGAATTCCTCCTCTAGAGGCTGCTGTTGTAACGGTAAAAGGTTTCTATTCTCAGAACAGGAAAAAAAAGTATATTCTAAGGAGTAGGAATCCAATGTGGGTTATTGGCTATGGCAGATTTCTTAAGCAAAGTTCTTACAATAATAATAAATAATAATAAAAAATTATTATTATTAAATAATAATAATAATAATAATAATAATAATAATATGGGTATATTGTGTGCAGACATCTGTTTACAAGCCACCAGTATAGCAGGGTTGAAGTCCACATTGGTGACATCTGGATCAAACATCATCACTAATTGAGAATAGACCAGATTAGAAATTAGGCCTGGGGACTCAAGAAGGCATATGCAGAAGAGAGATTAGAAGGGCAAAAATTAGGAAAAAAACCAACCTGCTTCTTTTATCTGGCACATTCCATCTGCTTATATATCATAAAAATAATCTTGCCAGGTTTATTGTGGATGAGGCTTTCTAAGGGCATAAGAAGAGCTCTGCTGGATCAGATCAAAGGCTCATCAAGTCCAGCATCCTGTGTTCCCAGTGGCCAGCCAGTTCCATATTGGAAGCCTGCAAGGCAAGCAGGACTGGAGTCCAAGAACACACTCCTCACTTGGGATTCTTGTATTACTGGTATTCTTTTGTTACTGGTATTACTGCCCCTGACACTCAAGGTTGCACAAATTGTAGGTTGTCGCCACTGATAGCTTTATCCTCCATGAATGTCTCTAACCCCCTTTAGCAGTCCAAGGGTACATTCAGATGTGGGAAGTACGTTGATAGTTTTCCTGATTATAATGCTAGCGCTTTTGTCCTGTTTTCTATTGCTCCTTTCACACTGGACTTCCTGTTATGGAACTGTGGCTTTTGGACCAATATAACGGCTTGTGCTAAATTTTCTTCACATCGATGGGGGTGGTGTGGCACAACAATGAATGCCATAGGACAGGGGGCAGCAAACTTTTTCAGCAGGGGGCTGGTCCACCGTCCGTCAGACCTTGTGGGGGCCGGACCATATTTTGGAAAAGAAAAAAGAACGAATTCCTATGCCCCACAAATAACCCAGAGATGCATTTTAAATAAAAGCACCCATTCTACTCATGTAAAAACACACTGATTCCTGGACCATCCATGGGCCGGATTTAGAAGGCAATTGGGCCAGATCCGACCACCAGGCCTTAGTTTGCCTACTCATGCCATAGGATAATGTAGCTACTCCTCCATCCTTTCCAGACATACGTATTTCTGCTTCCCCATTAAAACAGGAGGAAAGAACTGTGTGCTGCTGCTATACCACCCCATATTTCCTCTCTTTATGCCTGTGATTTTATGGGTTAATGGGGTTGCAAATGGATTCTCTCCCTGCCCCCCGGAAGTAATTAACTCAGAGATGAGTGCTAAAATTCCATTATATTCCACTAGATTTTGGGAAGTGTCTTTTATGTCATGTGAAATCTCAAATACAATGCAGAAGTTAACAGTCATGGAAATGTTGGGGGAATGGAAGAAGCTGCTGTGTGAATGCAGCCCAAGTTGGGCTACCTGGTGGCACTGTGATGACCCACCTGTCAAATCTGATCTTCTGGGGCTGGGGGAGAAAATGCTCCAGTCAGAGCTCTAACATTCTGCTTCCTTGCAAAGTGCTGAATTTTAGTATTACGAGAATGGGAGAAATCCATCTCTCCTATCCACTTTTCCCACTTTTATGTATAATTTTCATATACCCAGCTGGCAGTGAGAAAGACAAAAGCCAGGGAACTAGTTGTGTATTTCTCAGCGGGCAGAAACCAGAGAGTGGGAGCTGTGCTTGATTTCTGTTTGAATTCAAGGCTACAACTAAGGGAGAAGCAGGACCTTCGAGGGTGTTGATGCTTCGGGTTCCTTCAACTTTGGCTCAAGTTATATGTGTTACATATATCTCCTAAAAAATACCACAGTCTCTGCTGTTCCTCACTGAATCCTAGGAAGCTCCTGGAAATCCTGGAATCGCATAGATTGTGGTGGCATGTCTGTGTAAATTGTGGGATTCTCTAGCTGAAATATACTCGGAGTCCTGTAGTGACTTCATGCTCTTTATTGCAGCTTGTAAAACAGTGATTGAATTGCCCCCCAAACCTCAGGCTTTCATATACATTATTTACACAATGAGTCCTGTCTGATTGGCTGATTCTGCTTCCCTCCTGGAGCCTGATTGGTCTTTTCCTGCAGGCCAATTGCTGTTGTTGTTGCATTCTAGGATCCTACTTGCTTATTGTTCTAGGATCCAAGCTTAGTACATAACACTAGCAGTGCTTGAAATTAGATCTTTCCCCTTGATGTCACCTGGCTGGGGGGTGTTTCATGTTGGAATCTGATCAGAAAAAAACAGTTTGCCTGCTTTTTAAGTGAGTTGCATCCAGTATGAAAATGTCAGCATCTCATTCCTCCAAACACTTAAGAGATGAGCTTAGTATTGTTTTACCTGCATATAAATACAACTATTGTCATTAAAGGTTTAAGTGGAACATCGATGCATTATGCAAATTAAATGCGCACAGGTTTCCCACAGGAAGCAAAGATATAATTGACTCTCCCCAGATCAGTTTTAATGGCTTAAAATAAAAATAAAACCCATTTGTTTTTATTTCCCTCTCCTAAGTGATTGTCCCTTGGCCTTTCTTTACACTAAGAATGCTAAATCATTGTCTGTTTGTGTGCAGCTGTGCTTCTTGTTCCTGTCCCCACCCCCTTTGTTGAGCAGCGTCCAAAGCCTACGGAAATGCAGCAGAAAGGTGGTAAGATGTGGTTTAGTATTTCCTTTGCGGGGATGGTATGTTGTCCAGAGTCCAAAAAAAGAAGAAGCACTTTCCCAGTGCCACGGGTTTTTCGGTTCCTTTCCTCCGCTTTTCAGTCTGGGCCAACTGGCAACTTTAAATCAGTTAAATTATTTAAATTTGCTAATAGAACAGAATCAAGGAGGTAAAAATAAAATAAATCCAAAAGTTCAAAGCAAGTTTCAAACCAGCCAGGTGGTCCCTTTTTTCTGCTCTTTTAAAAAGACCGGTCTGCTCAGTTAGGGATACTCCATGTGGAATGGCACCAATTGTTTTGTAAAACACAGCCAAATGGAAAAAGTACAGTACTTTTCCATGTATAACATACCCCCCCCCATGTATAAGACGCCCCCTATTTTGGAGGATTCAAATTTAAGAAAATGGGGGGAGATGGCCCAGGGTGGTTGAGCTTCTTTAAAGGGGGGAATGACGAAAATCCCTCACCTGCACAAGTCGCAAAATCCACCTCTCATCTGTCCCCTCACCGGCAGATGCTGCCAATCGCCCGCCAAATTGCCACAGCGTCAGCCAATCAACACCACCCATTGATGCAGCAACCAATAACATGCATAATAGCTGCTGACAGCTGCGGCAGCAACCAATCAAACATCCACCCTATGCACTACCCATGTATAAGACGACCCCTACTTTTTAGCATGATTTTAAAAGAAAAAAACCTAGTCTTATACACTGAACATCCCCAGATGCTTCTGTTGCTTTCTGGTGGCAGCTTGTGTGAGTGCATCCCATATAACTGTGCTCACACTTATATCACTGCTAAGAGCAAGCAGCTCTTCCAAATGTTGCTTCTTCTATGCTAATCAACTGTTTGGGATGCCATAGTGAGTATTCTCAAGAAGACGAGCCTTAGAAGACAAAGTCTGGGTTTGCGGCCTGCAAAGACTCTGATGGCCGCATGAAAACCTTCACGAGCTGACTTTTTTGTGTACGTCAATGGAGAGGGTAGCTCTGCCCCTATTTTACTGTGTGTGTTGTGGAGCTTCCTGATTCACTGAAGATAAAGAAGAAACTTCTTCTAAAGTGGGTGATATATTAATTGGTGCTCTTGCATCTGCAAGAAATCACTGGATGAGGGGTGACTGATTTTAATTTTGCAGATCTGTGGTGGAAATGTTTGCTTTGGGGGACAGAACTTCTGTGGTAGGTTTAGCCATTAAATATCTTAGTGCAGTGTTGGAAAAACTATCGGAAACATCTTGCGGTCATCTGGAATTTCGTAAGTACAGTTAATATATTAATCACCAAGACCCGGTGAGATGCTAACACTGAGAGAATGCTTTTTATGACATTGAGCCTAGTGTCAATGGCTAAAGTGATGTGATATGCTCAGCTGGATAATGGCAAGCAGTGCAGAGAGCCCTGTGGAAGGACTTCATGTATTACTTTCATGAAACAATTATTTTAATGTAGATATGAATTTATAAAAGGCATTTTCATTTTTTTTAAAAAAGTCTGATACTGATAAACTTTCACAATATGCAGCAGAAATGGCATTGCAGCTGTTTTTATGTATATTAATTCTATTTTGCCAACTATCAAAAATTGTATATGCAAACACACTCAAATCTAATATGAATATATGGAAAGATAACTTTGTCCATTCTTTCAGCATTCAAATAATATGTTTAAAAAACACCCCTGCATCAATACCCTGGTTTGAAGTCCAAAATTAATAAATTGATATTTATAAAATACAGAGGGCATAAGAAAGTTATCCAGTATGGTTGTAATTTGAAAGAGTGGTATAAACACATCATATGTGTCTAAGCCAGTGTATTTGTGGAAGAAGAAATGAGTGGTGTGTGGTACTGTGAATGTGCAGGAATGACACATATTTTCCTCTAAATAAACCATGGTTTATTATTATGGTTATTATAAACCATGGTTTATTAATCTGAGATCATATTTGAACTTCCCAATATTTGAACTGCAGTATAACAGAATCTAGGACCTAGACTGAGTGGTATGTGCTGAATGAGATGCAGAGGCTGAGCATGTACAATGAGCACACAGGTCTCTCTGTGGGTAAAGTCAAAGAGTTCTGATTTCGAATGCTACCAGCTAGGTAAATCAGTTCTGCTCATTCTGCAACCCGCACATTGGCTAAATGTTGGAGTTGACTTTTATTTCTGAAATGATCTTTTGCTTCCCTGAGATAATCCTAGTTCCTTAGCCAGTTTCTGAACTTTGAAAATATCTGCTGATCTGGCATTCTTAAATAAGTGGGTTGATGAATTATTACAACTTGACAAATGAGCATATATAAACTCTTTGACCATTTCTGACTGTACCTTCTTCCCACACTTAAACTGCAGATTTTGCTTCTGGTAATAATAAATCTGCTGCTGAATACTTAGACTGAGCAGAGTTGAGTGCCTCCGACCTAAAGCAACATTCTACATTTTACAGTCAGGAAGTTAATCTACCTGGAGGGTTTGGTTACTGACAAATGGAATATTTCCTTTTAAGTGACAGTTTCAAGCTACAAGATGCTTAAGCTCTGGTTTTACTCATACCTTAATATCTTCTGGCCATAACATTTCCTTCCACCACTGCTATTTTATCGCAGCAGTGAAAGAAAACTCAGTGGATCTATAATGTGACTATATAATTATTTTGTAGACTCAGAAACACTTTAGCAATAAATTATTAAGGGATGAATTGACCGCCAATTAAGTAACTGTAAACAACAACAACAACAACCCAAAATGTATTAAGATGATCTGCTATGTGGGGTTGTTGTTCATAATACAGGAATTCAGTTCAAGCAGAAGGTCACTAATGGGAACCATGTTGCACAACAGAGCCTCTCTGGTTCAGAGTGACTCCACATTCCAGAAGTATATGTTCTAGAAAAATCTATGCCTTTTATGGGGGATGAGTGTTCAGACCCCTGGGCCCTCACTTGTGGGGTGTCTCAGGGTTCCGTCCTCTCCCCCATGCTTTTAAACTTCTATATGAAGCCGCTGGGAGAGATCATCAGGGGGTTTGGACTGGGTGTCCATCAATATGCAGATGATACCCAGCTCTACCTCTCTTTCAAATCAGAACCAGTGAAGGCAGTGAAGGTCCTGTGTGAGTGCCTGGAGGCGGTTGGAGGATGGATGGCGGCTAATGGATTGAAGTTGAATCCTGACAAGACAGAAGTATTGTTTTTGGGGGACGGGGGGGGGCTGGTATGGAGGACTCCCTGGTCCTGAATAGGGTAACTGTGCCCCTGAAGGACCAGGTGCGCAGCCTGGGAGTCATTTTGGACTCACAACTGTCCATGGAGGCGCAGGTCAATTCTGTATCCAGGGCAGCTGTCTACCAACTCCACCTGGTACGCAGGCTGAGACCCTACCTGCCCGCGGACTGTCTCGCCAGAGTGGTGCATGCTCTAGTTATCTCCCGCTTGGACTACTGCAATGCGCTCTACGTGGGGCTACCTTTGAAGGTGACTCGGAAACTACAACTAATCCAGAATGCGGCAGCTAGACTGGTGACTGGGAGTGGCCACCGAGACCACATAACACCGGTCTTGAAAGACCTACATTGGCTCCCAGTACGTTTCCGAGCACAATTCAAAGTGCTGGTGTTGACCTTTAAAGCCCTAAAGCGTGTTCTCCTTCATGGAGAGCACGTGTTGCGGTGGGGTCTGCTGAGCCACCCCTCTGTTACCAGGCAGGGTCTCTAAAGATGGCCTGGGGCAGTGATTGGTTCACTGGGTTGCTGGGGTAAAAGTTATGTTGCAATTTTGGTGGGAGGGGTAAAATGTTTAAATACTCTGCACACAGCCTGGAGCTTTCTCTTTGCTGCGTGCAACGGATCACCTGGAGCACTTGGACCGTCTGGAGGACAGTGGAGCGATCTTCTCATTGTCTGGTTACATTTCTTTATTTTCCCCTTCTTTTTAATCTTCTCTAGTCCCTTAATTAATTTAATTCCCCCCTTTTTTTCTGTTTGATTTCCCACCCCACCCCTTACCCTGCCCTTTGGGAAGATTCTCCCTGTACCTGTGAGCGCTGCCTGTGCATAATCCTCCTGGGCTTGCCTTTCCCAATAGGGAGAGAGCCCCCATTAGGGGCTTTCTTTTGCAAAAAGTTTTTCCCCATTTTCGCCTGTTTAATTGTGGGGCTAGCCAGGGCTGCTCCCAGCTTACCTGGAATCACTTTCATTTATAGTATCCCCATGGGTTGGCTTTATTTTGGGTGCGTGCAGTGCTGTTGGCCAAATTTTAATCTAGCCTTGGGCGGGAGCACTGTTTTGAGTTCCTTTAATATTGCAATGAGACAAAAAAGGCAGAGAGCAGAAGCTGGGAGGCCATCACGGCCTGCACGGCCTGCACATATCATTCAAGCCTAAGCCTGCTACAGTTAGCAGTACAGTGAATTGTTAAGTTTCTGTAACATGTGACTCATTCTCTCTATAAGAATGTATCTGTTGTTTGCAGGCTCACTTGTTGCTAATGTATAGCTTAGGCAGACAGAGTGGAGCCAGAGGCTCTCTGTGCCTCCAATGAGCACTCTTTGTATGCTCTTTAACTATGCTGTTTCTGAACAAGTTTATTTTCTTCAAGTTTGTTTATCCCTGATAGTGGCGACTGCCATTTTAGAGACAAGCCATTGTGGCTTAGTGGCTAGAGTACAGGACTAGGACCTGGGAGACAGGGTTCATATCCCTCACTTAGCCATTGTTATAACAAGGCAAAACAAGCTGCTCCTTTTGGACTATTTTGTTGCTGGGTAGTCTGGCCCATTTGTGATATTGCTCCCAAAAAGAACTTTGGGTTTCTTGAGGAGGTGCTTCCTCTAAAGGGCAAGCAGGGGTACCTGGACATGCGGTGGGCTGCCTCGAGTTTGTTATCTCATTGGAAACATTTATGTCTGGCCTAGCAGGTGATCCTAGGGCTTGGCCCGCTTGGCCCTAGAATTTGATGGCCTCTGGCAGCGTTTCTGGCCTGAATAGCGTCCCCATGTGGTGCACAAAGCATTGGTTTCACCTGTTCCTCACATTGTTTAGGTTTTTTCTTTTCGCAGACTATGACAGGGCCTTTGCAGATGCCTCCAGAGCTTGCCTCTCCTGCAGAGGATGACTTGTTGATGCCCCAGATGCCTTCTTCCGGAAGGAAGCGTCTTAAGAGGCAGGAAAAAGCATAGCAGGGATGATGCTTACACCTCCTTGCAGGTAAATCATCACTGGGCTCTGATGATGATTCAGACATCACCTTGGACCTCTCCAGGGGTCAGGGTGAGGCTGTTCCAGGTCTTTAGGGAGCATCCTGGATAGCTCAGCTGGCCAGCGTATGGTGCCGGTAATGCCTAGGTTGCAGGATTGGTCCCTGTATGGGACAGCTGCATGCTCCCTCATCACTTTACCCGGACACTGAGGTCCAGCGCCGAGGGCCTTTCTGGTGGTTCCCTCACTGTGAGAAGCCAAGTTACAGGGAACCAGGTGGAGGGCTTTCTCGGAAGTGGCACCTGCCCTGTGGTACACCCTCCCACCAGATGTCTACTACCAGACTTTTAGAAGACATCTAAGGCAGCCCTGTTTAGGGAAGCTTTTAATGTTTGATGCATTACTGTATTTTAATATTTTGTTGGAAGCTGCCCAGAGTGGCTGGGGAAGCCCAGCCAGATGGGCGGGGTACAAATAGATGATGATGATGATGATGATGATGATGATGATGGTGATATTGTGGGAGAGTGGACTAGATGATCCTAGGAGTCCCTTCCAACCCCACTATTCTATAAGTGGTAATTCACTATGATGGGAATGTTAGACGCAGGGCTGCCATCATCCCCTTAGCTCGCTAGGATCGCAGGGACGGGGACATGTGGACCACTTGCGCAGCTCCACATTTCAAATGGAAATTCCCTGAGCAATAGAACCTGAAGCTGGTATGCAGGAAGCTGGCCCGGTGGCAGCTTTGTTGGGACTTCTTTAGGGTCTCTGGCCAGTGTTGGCCCTGTAAATTTACACATCATGGTGGCAACACAAGGCAGGGCTTCTTGCCCAAGCGGGAGCTGGCAAGCAATAACTCAATACCTCTCGCCCATATTTCCATAAAAATATCTCCCTTTAAAGCCTGGCTAAAAGGTTATCTAGATGCGTCAGTAGCTTTGTGCTTGTGGGAAGGGTTTTTCCCAAGGTTTCGGGATTCCTCTGGCTTTTCAGCCAGTGGCTCAGAATACAGCAACTCAAAAGTCAGTTAGAGTCTGTGGTAGCCAGAAAGTCTGTGGTAGCCAGAAAGAAGGTTAGGAAGCAGCTTGCATTGGGACGTATGGTGGGATCCCCTTGATTCTCCTTCTAGTCCCGATTTTCATTTATCCCCATTGGGGATCGTCCCTAAGAAAGCCCCATATAATTCCATCTGATCCATATTTATCGCACCCCAAAGGCACCTCAGTGAATGATGCTATCCCTCCGGAATTGTTCCGTGAAATATGCATCTTTGGATCAGGCAGTTGAGCTTACCAACAAATTGGAGGAGGTGCCTTGTTGGCATTATGCGATATTGAATCGGCTGTTAGGCTGCTGCCGGTTCACCCTCAAGATTTTAAGTAGTTAGGCTTTAATTGGATGGTCCTTATATGGATAAGGCGATGCCAGTTGGTTGCTCAATAGGCTGTGCAGCACTTGAGTCCTTTAGCGCCTTTCTGGATTGAACATTGCGAGTCAAGACTCGTTTAACTGGGGGTATCGTTATGTGGATTATTTTACTGGCTGGTTCATGTGACACCAGCCTCTGCTTAGCTTACTAGATGCCCCTTTATTCCCTGAGGAGCTGGGTGTTCTGTTGGCAGTGGAGGACAGTGGCTCCTACTGCCCCTTTTAATGTATTTGGGGGCTAGCTGGATACCGTTGCTCAAACATCTGCTTGCCTGTGGAAAAGCTGTTTGCCTTGAAGGATGTTATTCTTGTAATACTTCCTCTGAAGCAAGTGTTGCTTTGTCAGATCCTATCATTCCTAGGTCAGTTAAATTTTGCATGCAGGGTGGTTGCTCCAGGCTGCCCCTTCCATTCCTGCTTGGCCAGGTGGTCTCATGGCCCGGTGTCCCTTCATCATCATGTACAGTGGCCTTGAGCCTGGCAGGGCAAGGCAATCACATGTAACCTAACTTTTCTTGAGTTTTCCTCATTGTAGTGTCAGCGCACATCTGGACTGAGGAGTTTAGGGACCGTCAGGTCTGTCTTGGTCTGATAACCAGGCAGTGTGAGAGTCCTGGCAAAACGGTCTTCATGCTCTGGCAGAGTCTTCGCACTGCTTAAGGTTTAATATTGCGTTTCTGCTCACTTTATTTCAGGATCATCTAATGTTTTTGCTGTGGCTCTATCCCGTTTTTTCAGTTGGAGAGCTTCAGATCCTGGGCTCTGGACACCCAGCTATTTTTCTGGAGCTCCTGTGGCACTTGGCAACAATTAATAATTATGAGGAATAGTAGCTTACGTTTCCCCATCCGCTTTCAGGTCTTATGAGAAGGCCTGGACTGATTTCTTAAAATTTAGCTGGTAGTCCTCGGCCATTCAGAGGAACCTGCCCCCATCCTCTGAGCAGGACCTGCAGTAATTCGCCCACCTGCTGCAGATAGGATGCAGTGTTAAAACTATCAGAATTCAGTCCGCTGCAATGTCTGCTAGAGTAAAGCTTTAATTTTCAGAGACCCTTCTAAAAGTGTGTCATGCGCAGGGTCTCGGAAGGTTGGAATAGGCTCTGACCTTCACAGGACAGCAGGCAGGAAGCCGGTCAATCTTTGACCTATGCAGTATCTGCAACAAGTTGAGACTTGTTGGCTGGTTCAAGATCAAGACGAGACTTATTTCAGTATTCCATTGTAATTTTGGTGTACTGAGGGTTGGGGAAATTGTGTTGGAGCCAGCACGGGGCTGAGAGTTTGGAGGCTTATTGCCTCAGGACTTTTCCTTATCTGCTTTGGAGCTTGTCATAAGTGTCTGGAGCTCTAAGTCAGACCTAGTGAGCAGGGTTGCCACCATCAGGCTTCCAGTCACAGGTGAGGTGGGCCCTTGCCCTGTTATTGGATACCGGAAATATTTGGCTTTTCGTTCCCCTGGGGGCTGGCTCAATCCTAGTGCACAGAAATGGGTTCCGGTTCGACAGGCATCTAATTGCTCACGTCGTGCGCCAGTTATTGCAGCCTGCGGCTTGCCTACCGCTGAACACGCCTCATTCCTTCCAAATAGGTGCTGCTGCAAAGGCTGCGCATTGGGGCCTGTTAGTAGACAGGATTGTGAATACGGGTCATTGGAAGTCTGACGCTGACAAAGGTTATGTCAGGAAGCATCGCCAATGATGCCTGTGCTGATGCCTGTCTGTTATTCCTTTTTTCATAGGAGCAGCTGTGCGCATTTGGATTGTCGGCCACAGCATCATGCACTGAGCTGGCAAGCACCCTGACGAGTCTGGACTGGGGGCGCCATCTCGGCCTTCCTGCCCATGTTTCTAGCTCCAGTCCGCATCTGGATTGTGGGGCACAGCATCGTTTACTGGGCTGGCATCAGAGCTAGGCAGTCTGGAAGGGGACTGGGTCTTGGCCTCCCGCAGCATGTGCAGGTGTTGTGGATGTCCAGGCGCAGAATGCAGTGGAGCGAATTCATCCCGCTAATTAAGCAGAGGGTGCTTCGGATGGCCCCCATGGCAATTGTGGTTCAGCGGGGGAGAACGATGTGGCAACTTATGATTGCTTTACTTTGCGCTCCACGATTCAGAGAGACTTGGGTGAATTGGTGACCTTAATACCCACAGTTAAAATATTTTGGTCACAATTGCTGCAAAGGCGCAATTGGCACGGCATTTCTCGACCTGAGGCTGCTGAAAGGGCCAGGAAGCGCATTAATTCTGCAGTGTGTAAGAAGGTGGCGGATTTGGGTGGATTGGTTATTTCCCGCCCGGATATTACCTTCAAGGCTCTGGCCCTTTACCGCAATGATGGAGTACATCTCTCTGTACTGGGGAATGATGTTTGGTTGGATGCGGTAACTGCAAGGTTGAAGGTTGGGTTGGGATTGTGAGTGGTTGGCGGCGAGCGTAAAGGGCCTCGATTGGCGGTTAGGCATTGGTTATAAATTGGTGGAGGAGGGGTTAGGATAGGCTGGGCCTGCCCCTCCATGGTTGCTGCGGAAAGGGAATTCCGTTAAAGGAATCCTGGGGCTTGCCATCTTTTCGTCCAATCCCTGGAATGGGACTAGGGCCGGCAAGCCTTCGGGGAGCATGCGGATGAGAATTGAGGGTCTGTGACCCAGCTCCATTTCTCTCCGACTTGCTTTCCCCGCACTGTCTTTCGGTGGTGCCCGGAAGTCAGTTCTGTCCCCAGGCGGGGGACAGATAGTCTTAACCAATGCCTAAACAACCACTCACGGTTTTGTATTTAAATAAAGTTGTGGCCAAAATTATGCCAAAAACCTTAAACAAAAATTAAGTGTGCGTTGTGAGTTATTTGGGGGGTGGCTTAGGGACCTCGACACGCAAAGCGTGTTCTCCTTCATGGAGAGCACGTGTTGCGGTGGGGTCTGCTGAGCCACCCCTCTGTTACCAGGCAGGGTCTCTAAAGATGGCCTGGGGCAGTGATTGGTTCACTGGGTTGCTGGGGTAAAAGTTATGTTGCAATTTTGGTGGGAGGGGTAAAATGTTTAAATACTCTGCACGCAGCCTGGAGCTTTCTCTTTGCTGCGTGCAACGGATCACCCGCCCACCCGCCCTTGAGTAAGGGGTTGTTGCATTGACCTTGCTATGCCTGTCATGGGGTCGTCTGCCGTTGGGGCAGGGGCCTGGTAGGAATTTTGTCCATCTGGCTGATTGGCTGGGCCATTTGGTTTTTGCCTACTGCGTAGCAAATCGTCACAACTTGTAAGGTTGTGGTTAGGCATTGGTTATAAATTGGTGGAGGAGGGGTTAGGATAGGCTGGGCCTGCCCCTCCATGGTTGCTGCGGAAAGGGAATTCCGTTAAAGGAATCCTGGGGCTTGCCATCTTTTCGTCCAATCCCTGGAATGGGACTAGGGCCGGCAAGCCTTCGGGGAGCATGCGGATGAGAATTGAGGGTCTGTGACCCAGCTCCATTTCTCTCCGACTTGCTTCCCCCGCACTGTCTTTCGGTGGTGCCCGGAAGTCAGTTCTGTCCCCAGGCGGGGGACAGATAGTCTTAACCAATGCCTAAACAACCACTCACGGTTTTGTATTTAAATAAAGTTGTGGCCAAAATTATGCCAAAAACCTTAAACAAAAATTAAGTGTGCGTTGTGAGTTATTTGGGGGGTGGCTTGGGGACCTCGACACGCAAATGGCCTTGGCCCAGTATACCTGAAGAAGCGTCTCCACCCCCATCGTTCTGCCCGGACACTGAGGTCCAGCACCGAGGGCCTTCTGGTGGTTCCCTCATTGCGAGAAGCAAAGCTACAGGGAACCAGGCAGAGGGCCTTCTCGGTAGTGGCACCCGCCCTGTGGAACGCCCTCCCATCAGATGTCAAAGCGATAAACAACTACCTGACATTCAGAAGACATCTTAAGGCAGCCCTGTTCAGGGAAGTTTTTAATGTGTGATATTTTAGTGTTTTTTGGTTTCTATGGAAGCCGCCCAGAGTGGCTGGGGAAACTCAGCCAGATGGGCGGGGTACAAATAATAAATTATTATTATTATTATTATTATTATTATTGAGGCATCAAAATATAGAGTACAACAGAAAAATAAGAATGGTATTCTAAAGTAAGATAAAAAGAGAAGAATAAGTTACAAAATATGAATTTCAGCAGTATACATGCAGGATCTCATTCAATGAGGTAAGTGAATTATGGCAGTTAAATTATTTGTGATTTATATTACAACAAAACCACTTGATGCCGTTCTCGACAAAGTAAGCATCCTGACCCTTTGCTTAATACCACAGTGCTGGACATGTTATTTTCATATTTCTTCCAAGAATCAACCTCCCTTTCTGGCCATAAGAAGTGGTGTAGAGTGTGTGTGGAGGGGGGGGGGCTGTGGCCACAGACACGTTTTTCAAAGGGGCCCCATGACAGACTCCCTCATCGGAGCCTGGTTCTTGAGTGCAAGGGAGCTGCAGAGACAGCTTCCTTGCATGATGGTCCAACGCCACCAGCCACAGCTCCACTCCTGGGCCAAGGCTGACCCGGAGGTGGAGAAAGGCTGGGCTGCATGCACCTCAGGAGCGCTTTGTGAGGTGAGTCACAGTGGGCTCCTTCCATGCCCTGCCCCATGCAGCCCCACGCAGACAGAGGTGTTTTGCGTTCCAAGTTAGTGAGTCCAGGGAGTGGAAAGATGGCCTGTTCTGGATGAGGTTGTGCTCCCCTGGAAAGAGCAGCTTGGTACAGTACTCCTGGATCCAATGTTGTCATTTAACACTCAGGTGACCCTATTTGCAGCTACAGCTAGTTTACCAGCAATGGCCCCTTTTGAACAACGATGACTTGACCACAGCATTCCTCACCGTCCAAACTGACAACAGCCAGATGACTGGCTTGACACTGAGTAACAGTGTGCCTCAGTATCCGTATAAGAAATAAAATCATGCTATATAGAGAAAAAAAAATAGGTCATTTGAGCTCTGCCCTTTAGATACTTTCAGTTTATGAGATACCATTTCAAGGAGGGCAGTTTGCCAAACCCTAAAGCACCAGCAATCCAAATTATTAAAATGGAACGTATTGCAGGGCTTGACAAAGGAGCCCCAGGCTGCTGTTGAGAGATGTGAGACAAATTCTATAATTTTCAAGTACCATTCTGTTTCATCACCCTCTGAAGTTCAGATGGTGGTGGCCTGGGGGGAAGACACTCTCTGTGGTAGCTCCTAGGTCATTTATGGTTCAAGCCCACCCTGGATTATTGTGGGGGGCAGGAAGGTAATAAATCTAGTAAATCAAATATATGTTGGGGTCTCATCTTTGCCGTACTTTTTTTTTAAATGACCACGTCCTGCAAATGGAAGAATAAGAATTAATGAAAATTATCTGTTTCATAAACCCGGTGTGGTCTCTTCTTCTTCTTCTCTCTCTCTCTCTCTCTCTCTCTCTCTATACACACACACACACACACACACACACACACACACATCTAGAGCCATAAAACATGCTACCTTAATTTGCTTCAGGGAGACCCCAGGGAAGATGGAAGGCTGATTGATAAAGGGCAGGCTTGTAGAAACGATCCCTCTTTTATCTGGTGGCAGCAAGTACTTTGAAAGGGAATAGTGAGCTGAGTGGAGGGGTACATTCTGTGCTAGCAGGGAACACCCTCATCAGGATGCAGGCTGGCTGGGATGTGGCCATCACAATTGCCCCTTTGTTATGCCTAAAGAACCCCCCAGCAGAATTGGAGGATTTAAACACACACACACACACACACACACACCAGGAATGATAAGAAATTATTCTTGAAATGAGATGTAATTATGCCAGAGAATGAAAACACAGGCTTCTTGCCTTTGCCCTCCTTATGGCTATATTAATATGAAACATTAATCATTAAGGAGAAGAAAATTAGTTCACCTGAATTGATCCTGAAGCTGAGCAGAGAAGTTAGGCGAAATAATGATTGCACAAAATTTCTTGCAAAGCAATCATTCTCCTTGACTAATTTTGCTAAAGGGCACTACTTAGCAAACTCACGAGGAATATGGAAGCTGGCTTCTGCTTTCCCATACTGGCGTATTTCGTATATGAAAAGAAGATGAAAGGAGTACATGCTCCCATGCGGCTAAGTTCAGGGATGGAGGATTCTCAGGTGACGGAAAGGCTGATGTTGGTGCCTAGAAATTGAAAATGATTTTGCAGGTGTGGTTATTATATCTTCATATCCCCTATCTTGAGTTCAGAAATTTAGAACTTCTCTGTTTTGCACATGTGCCAAGATTATGAAAAAGAAACAAAAAAAGGACAGGTGTACTATTTCCTGATGACCAATAATTCTGACTACCTCCTTGCTCCATAAGGTCAATCCAACATGTCAAGACTTTCCTTAGAATCGCAGAATTGTACAGTTGTATGGGACCACGAGGGTCATCTAGTCCAACCCCCGCCCCACAAGATACTTCCAAAAAACATCATTCCAATACTATAAATATAACAAGATTACAGTGGTACCACGGGTTAAGTACTTAATTCGTTCCGGAGGTCTGTTCTTAACTTGAAACTGTTCTTAACCTGAACCACTTTAGCTAATGGGGCCTCCTGCTGCCGCTGCGCCACCAGAGCACGATTTCTGTTCTCATCCTGAAGCAAAGTTCTTAACCTGAAGCACTACTTCTGGGTTAGCGGAGTCTGTAACCTGAAGCGTATGTAACCTGAAGCGTATGTAACCTGAGGTACCACTGTATTTAGACATGCAACATCCAATAGGAAAATAACAAGCGGGCATCACAGAAAGAAGCTGCAGTAATGCTGGGCTGGCCCTAATGTTAGGCGGGGTGAGGTGGCTGCCTCAGGCAGCAATTTCGAGTGTCACAAAAGGGCAGCAAATTGTGAGTTATTTAATGCCTTACCGTGTTATTACTGGCAGGGAGGTTGTTATATGCTTTCGAGGAAATTACTTTTTGGGTCCAGTGGAGGATTTCCCCCTGAGACATATAGCACCTCAGGATCGCAGCAGGATCCCTCCCAACCCAACTCTACGCCTCCTCTGATTGTATTCATTATTAGTCCACTGCATGGTACAGTTTGCTTATGAAAAATTCACAATTGAAGACATGAGCAGTTTGGCCCTCAACTCAAGAGCAAGTGAATGTCCTCAAGATGGGAAACTCCAATCCCTAAGGAGCTGCAAGAAGCTTGGGTGCATGAACCAAGGATGAGATTGCACTTGCCCAGCTGTTCAATGGCACTACAGTCCTTCCTCAAAGAACATGATGTATGATCAGTTAAGTGGGAATATAGCCTCTTATCATAGCATGTAATTCATTTGCATCTTCAAGAACAGATCAGAAGCTGAAGTGAGAAGGGCAAAAGTAAACAACTCCTTGAAAAACTCAAGATGTGGGGAAATAGTCGTTTTTATTTGGAAGGGTAGCCCTGTTTAGATAGCATTTATTTATTAAAGTTCTAGAATGGGTTGCTGAATGCTAGTTTGGCTGGTAAGGAGATTTAACCATCCTGGTCCCAGGAGCACATGCTGAGGCACAGAATATTACTACTTTGATAGTGATTTCATTAGTGGAGTTTGACAAAAGCAGGGAGGCATAAAAATGATCAGAAACTTAGTTAAAATGGGTGTGATATATAAGGAACAAATGCCTTTGTATAATAAGTGTTATAGTACTGTAAGGTAAAGGTAAAGGTAAAGGACCCCTGGATGGTTAAGTCCAGTCAAAGGTGACTATGGGGTTGTGGTGCTCATCTCGCTTTCAGGCCAAGGGAGCTGGTGTTTGTCCACAGACAGCTTTCCAGGTCATGTG